GGAGGAGGAGGAGGAGGAGGAGGATGTGGATGAGAATGAGGATGAAGGTTCTGATGATGATGCTGATGATGCTGATGATGATGCTGATGATGCTGATGATGCTGATGATGCTGATGATGATGCTGAGAATGCTGATGACGGATACGATGATGATGATGATGCTGATGATGATGCTGATGGTGATGATGATGATGCTGATGCTGATGCTGATGTTGATGCTGATGCTGATGATGATGCTGCTACTGCTTCTGATGATGTTGCTGATGCTGTTGATGATGATGATGCCGATGATGATGGTGGTGGTGATGGTGATCATGATCATGATGCTGCTGTTGGTGATGATGATGCTGCTGCTGATGATGATGATGATGTTGATGATGCTGCTGCTGATGATGATGATGGTGGTGATGATGATGCTGATGATGATGATGCTGATGCTGATGATGATGATGACGATGATGCTGATGCTGCTGATGATGATGATGCTGATGATGATGATGATGATGATGAGAAGGAGGAGGAGGAGGAAGAGGAGGATGAGGATGATGATGCTGCTGATGATGATGCTGATGATGATGATGCTGATGATGACGATGATGATGATGCTGCTGCTGATGCTGGATGATGATGATGATGATGATGATGATGATGATGATGATGGTGGTGGTGGTGGTGGTGGTGGTGGTGATGATGATGATGATGATGATGATGCTGCTGCTGATGATGATGTGGCTGTTGATGATGCTTATGATGATGATGAATGCATGAATGATGATGATGATGATGATGTTGATTTGATGATGATGATGATGTGTGATGATGATGATGATGATTGCTGATGATGCTGATGATGATGATGATGATGATGATGGATGATGCTGATGATGAGGTTGATGCTGATGATGATGATGATGATGATGAAGGATGCTGATGCTGATGATGATGACGGATGCTTATGATGTGATGATGATGATGATGATGATGAGGAGGAGGAGGAGGAGGAGGAGGAGGCGGAGGAGGAGGGAGGAGCTGGATGAGCTTGGAGGCAAGGTTGGAGGAGTAGGGAGGAATTCAGGGGAGGGGAGGAGGAGGTGGCGGAGGGGGAAGGGGAGGGGGAGGGGAGGGGTAGGGGGGCTATGAGGAGGAGGAGGAAGGAGGAGGAGGAGGAGGAGGAAGGCGGAGGAGGAGGCGGAGGAGGTGGAGCAGGGAGGAAGAAGGAGGCGGTAGGGGAGGAGGAGGGGAGGAGGAGGAGGCGGCGGAGGAGGCAGGAGGAGGCGGCGGAGGAGGAGGAGGAGGAGGAGGAGGATGAGGAGGAGGAGGAGGAGGGGAGGAGGAGGAAGAAGAGGAGGAGGAGGAGGAGGAGGACAAGTGTAAACCCAATAGTCATCAACGATGTTGGAGTAAACCCTCCCTCCAAGCTCCCTCTTTCATTTACCCCTACAACTGTTTACTTCCACCGAAGGACTGCTCGTTGGAAGACACCCGTTGGAAGGCCCTGAAGCATGCCAAAACATTGTTCTCGGGATTGTTGCGTCTTGCCGATCCGGAATCGTGCCAGAACGCCACTCCTGGGAATTCAACGCCGCGAATCAACGTCACCGTTGCGCCTTCATAATCCGGAGTATTTCTGGAACGCCATTTCTGGTACGTTGATCATGGGAACCCGTGAAATTCTTGCAATTGGCAAAACAACTAGCCTGGCAATTGACATGCATCATCTTCGGTGGCGCTACCTCGGGGCGCTATCTAGGGGACCACGAACCGCGTAAGGGGCGTGCCGACACGGGCGGCGGGGTAAACGACACGAGCGAAGACGGTAGGTCGAAGTACGAAAGATTGAGCGCGTGTGAGTCTGATCGAGAGTGAGTCTCATTGTGAATAAGTCTGCGCGCGAGCGAGTAGATATGCCTGAATGCGATCCACCGAAATGGGGCCGTGGTGCCATGCGGACCCTCCCGCTGGGGCCTTCGGTGGAGCTCCCTATGGGGCCACGAAGCGTGTGATGGGTGTGCCGAAATCGGGCGGCGGTGCCACGCGGACCCTCCCGCGGGGGCCTTCGGTGGAGCCCCCTATGGGGCCACGAAGGTTGTGATGGGTGTGCCGAAATCGAGCGGCGGTGCCATGCGGACCCTCCCGCTGGGGCCTTCGGTGGAGCTCCCTATGGGGCCACGAAGCGTGTGATGGGTGTGCCGAAATGGGGCAGCGGTGCCATGCGGACCCTCCCGCTGGAGCCTCGGCATCAATTGAGAAGGTCCGAACCAGTTCTCAGAGAATCACAATCCGAGTTGGTCATGCAACAACCCAGGCGGAAGCTGGCAGTATCAACATCAAAAATCGAAGCGCTTTCCACGTGACACCAGGTTGGCAGCACAACTATAAATTCGATACTTGCACTACACTTGCTAGCAGTAGTCCACTAACGGCAGGTCGACTCTGATGTAATCGCATGTAGCCGTCAGCTCGTCCTGAAAGAGGCGGACCACTTACAGGAAGCTACACAATGTTTTTTTCAAGTGGCCACGCTTGCATTGAAATCATGTTCGGGGAACTCAAGCGCAGCCATAGACAGCGGTGGGCACCGCCATTCGGAGTCGTCCAAGCGACTACGATTTCCGTCGCTGGTTCCAAGTGCTTGCGCCATCCCCCCGCCGCCAGCGCGCGCTAACAACGAATGCGGAAGCACATTTCCACATGCAACTTTCGAGGAACACGTGCTTTTGAACCATTGACCATTTGGCCGTCATACACGATCACATATGCGCATTCTTCTGGTTTGGAGATGCTGCGTCCCACGCCGTCCGGCATCAGGAACAATGAACGTGATCAGGCTGCATGTCCAGGACGCGTCCATGAAGGCTTTTCCAATGACGCACATCGGGTTGCAGCGCAATTTTTTGGGGGGGGGTGGCGGGGGCGTGCGAGGGCAGATCCCGAAACGCATCTTTCTGTTGCGGACGCATTAAAGACCGAGCGGAACACATGACACAAATCTAGAGGTACCACAAGTCCGAGAATTGGTTGAATGTTCATCGTCGCCGCAGCCGCCCTACCGGGACCTTCTCGTAGCATGCGATTTCTTGTGCGATGGAGTTGGTGATGTCCGTCAAGCTTCACATATTTGGTATCGCGACTACGGACATGATTCAAGACAATCGAATTCACCTGGCCAATTTGGTTCGCCCGATTTTGCGCACCGATGGGGCAGACGCATCAGGGCAGGTCAGCGAATGCCGGACGAGTGGCGCTGAGATCTCGACCACCGGTAATCCATGGAGCCCGATATCTTGCGTTCGGTCATTCTGAGATGGTGCGAAGATGCAGGCTCATGGAGTTTGTCCCATCCTCCCTTGATTCAGCCACGCGCAGAGGGGGGTGGGGGGAGGGGGGAGGGCTTCTTAGAAGCACCCCTGCTTCTTAGAAGGCGCGGGCCTTATCTACAGATGTAAGGCCGGCGCCTTCTAAGAAGCAGCCTCCTTCTAAGAAGCCCCTCCCTCCACCCCCTTGTGCTCGCCGCCAATGGATGCTTCGACACGTGCTATTGCCATCCCGATACAGTCCCCGTACCACTGAGGCCCCGAAGGTTGCACGTTTCCGCATCCTCGTCGCTTCTTTTTTCTCGGAGCGGGCGGCGCGGTGCTTTAAGTCGGGCGTGATTCCCCCTACAGGGGGATTTTCAACGAAAAATAAAAAATGCCTCCACCATACCCCAAAAAGAAAAAAAACTAAAAAAACAGTCCCGGAATTTGTTTTGACTATTTGTTGATTATTTTTTGGTTATTTTTTTTATTTTCGTCGAAAATCCCTCTATAGGGGGACAGGCCAGACTTAAGCGGTGCTGAATGTGCGAGGGTTCAAAGAAACACCAATCAACATTTTAACATTGCATGCTCTTCTCATTCCGCGTGCCATTCCACGCTTCTATCGCAAACCCTCGATACCCGCCCTCTCCGTCTTCGATCGTGCTCCCCTCGGGCACATCTGCCCCACCTGCCAGTTGTAGTTGGCGGAGCCCCTGGAACAGGGAAAGGGGGTGAGATGGGGAGGGGGTCAGCAGCAGGAGTACAACGGCCAGAACCAGACACGCGGACTGGGCGGGGCAGACACTAACAGGCAGCCCGGGCGGGCGAACCCACACGGCTGGGTCGATCAATTGTGTGTGTGTGTGTGATTCGTCAAACCAATTTTAATCGCAAGGGACTTTGGAGCGATAGCGTTATTCCCAAGAACATCGTGAGGAAATCCACAGCGAGAGTGTGGTTCCTAAGTGTTTGGGGCACGGCGCCGCAACAAACTGTGAGGAAGTACCACGCGAGAGCGCGATTCGTGCATAAACCATGAGGAAGTCCTGCGCGAGAGAGCGATTTTGGAATACGTTGTGAGGAAGTATTCGCCAGGAATCGTTCTTGTTGATGTTGGTGTAATTCGGGCCTGACAGCGCGGTTAGGGGACCATTTTCCATATTGAACAGCAGAGTGCGAGCCCCAGGAAAAGCACTTTAATAGAAACACGCCAGATGCACCAGAGGGGGGATCAACAAGCATTCTTTCAATTTTATGAGAGTTCAAAAACAACATAAATGAACTCCGCCACTGGGGCCTTCGGTGGGGCCACTGGTACAGCGTGCTCGTTCAACGTGATATCCTTTTTCTTCGGCCATCAATCGTGCGAACGATGATCATGGCGTTAGCATCATTTGGTGCTAAATCTCTGATGGGATGGGCAAGGCAACATGTCAGCTGTCAGTTTTCTCCGTTGGCGGACAGGTGGCCAAAGCAACATGTTACCAGTTAGCTGCTGCTGTCGTCTGATAGGCGGCCAAGGCAACATGCCACCTGTTAGCTTCCTCTCTGTTTTGATTGGTGCCCAAGGCACTATGTCACCTTTTACCTTGAGTTGTTGTTTGAATGGCGACCAGGGCAGCATGCCACCTCTTCGGTTCCGATGTCGCTTGGTAGGCGGCCAAAGAAACATGCCACTGGTGAGCCCCCGCTGTTGTCTGATAGGCGGCCAATGCAGCATGCCATCTGGTAGCTGCTGCTGTTGCCCACCTTGCAGGTTGATGCTCAATCTTCAGCTGGTGCCCAATTCAAGTTTATATCACTGCCTCGTATGCTTCGCATTGTTACGTGTGCCGCCAGTAGGCACACTTTGCTATGCAGTTTAAATTCGACCTTGGACGTCTACAGGCAAACCGTGTTGTCGCCATTTTGCGCGACACTGAAGTTTGTCGCTCGGACACGTCACATTGTAGGCTGAACCCTTGTTGCCCGCGGGAAGGGCATGTATACGCACAGCTCTGACCCTCGAAACGGACTTGTGGGGTGAAAGTGGTGGAGAGATTGGCGGAGGAGGAAAGTGGACACCTCGAGGTTATTTAGACATACGCCAGCCCAGTTTAGATATGTTTTTGCCACGGCTATGCAATCGCACGGCTTCGGAAAGGGCGTAGGTTATGTGGATTAGGGGAATTGGGTTGTGTGGGGAAGTTGAGTAGTGGAGGGGGAGGATCGGCTTTCATATGATCTTTGTCTCCATGTGGCTGTCCAGCCGCATGGGCATTCAAGCATGGACTTTTGATGAAGGCATCTGCCCCAAGGATGCTTCCCAGCGTCACGACTGCTTCTGTTTCCCTGCGCTCCTTTCTCATCCTGTCCTCCTCTCGCTCCCTCCCTTTATGTCTGGCTCCGCCGCGGCCAGCGTGAACATGGGCGCAATCGTGAAAGCAACCGTGTGGGGAGGGGGAGTGGGAACGGGAAGAGCAGGGAAGGATGGAGGAGGGCAAGGATCGAGGCAGAGCGGCCTCCCCGCCCCTCCCCCTGCCCCCAGGCCTCGTGGAGGAGGTGGCCGACGGCGACGGCGGCGGCGGCGGCGAGGATGCGGCCGAACACGGTTTCAAGAACGACGACGACGGCGACGACGACGACGACGTTGGACGGCCTCAAGGAAGACGACAGCGAAGAGTTTGCCGACCCCGCGGACCTGCTCGCCGAGGCCTGGAGGGGGACACCGCCGCCGCCGTGTGTCGCTCGGCGTCCACAGGGCACAGGGCCACCTGCGATCCGATGCGGTGCGATTCGACTCGCCGGCCAGGGCCGCGATCTTGGTTCTGTTCGACTCGTGGCCAGCCAGAGCGGGCCGAAGCGATCCAGTTGCGATTCGAGTCGGGACGATTCGCTAACGATCCGTTTCGTTCCCGATCCGATCCAATTTCGTGATTTGATCCAGCTCAGGCCTGCGTCCGTCGTCGTCGTCGTCGTCGTCGTGAAGGTCATGGTGGTGGTGGTGGCCCGAAGTACGAACAAAAACGCACAAGCATCAACTTTCGGAGGTCTGCGCGGATCCCTTGGATCTGCGTTGCACCTCCCCTGGGGGCGCCTCCGGCGCCGTCCCTGGCGCGCTCCGCGCGCCAGGGAGGATGGGGGTGCAACGGCGATCCAAGAAGTTCTCGCGGACCCCCGACGGTGCACAGTCATCGTGCTACTGCACAGGGGAAGAAGGAGTGGAGTGGCTGTTCTGGTCACGGCGAGCCTCGGCCACGAGGAGCCTCCCCGAGCCGGATGTCAGGAACGGCCCGAGCATCAGAGCCCCCCCCCCTTCTGCCCAACGTGGTGCTTACATCAGCGTCTTGGCTGTACGCTCATGCCGCTTTGTCGTCTTCTTCTCCTTCTGTTTCTTATTTTTCTTCTTCTTCTTCTTCTTCTTCCAGGGTCTGCGCTGGACCTCCTCTGGCGGTGCATCCGACGCCGCCTCTCCGCGCGCCAGGGAGGAGGGAGGTGCCTCCTCCTCTTCCTCCTCGTCCTCCTCCTCCTCCTCCTCTACCCCCTACTCCTTCTCCTCCTCCTCCTCCTCCTGCTCCTCCTCTACCTCCTCCTACTCCTCCTCCTCCTCATCCTCCTCCTCCCTCTCCTCCTCCTTCCTCCTTCCCTCCTCCCTCCTCCCTCCTCCTTCCTCCGTCTCCTCCTTCCTCCGTCTCCTCCTTCCTCCGTCTCCTCCTTCCTCCGTCTCCTCCTTCCTCCGTCTCCTCCTCCGCCTCCCTCATCCCTCCTTTCTCCTCGTGAATTTTCATTCCGTCTTTGCCGAGTTCGTAAATTAGAGAGGCCTCTTCCTCACTGGGGACCTGCCAAAGGGGTGTCCCTGGCCCGAGGTGCCCCCAGCCTGTCCTCTCCATTTGTTGAAGCTTCTGACGCCCTCCTGGGCCTCGTGATGGGGTGCCTTGGAGGCCGTGTGGGCTTCTTTGTCGGCGACGAGCGACGGGGGGAAGTGACACGGAGACGGCCTTCGTAAAGGCGGCGCGACTTCTCAGAAGCCCTCGCGCCTTCTGAGAAGTTTCCTATATCTTTGGGGAAGGCTCAGGTCTCAGAAGGCCGAGGGACTTCGAGCCCTTTGAGAAGGCCTCCTCCTTATCCTTCCCCCCTGCGCTCGCCGCCAATCCTTGGAAGTCCTGGAGACACCCTGGGCCAAGGACACCTCCGGCAGCGCCCGAGCAAAACCTCCCGACTCCTGCGGCAGCAGGCTCGCGGCCCGCGGCGTGCCGACGCAGCGGCGACCTCGCCGCTGGCGTTCCAGCTTGAAGGCCGCCGATGGCCCAGAGTCGGCCGATATGCAGCGGACTGGCGAACGAAGACACGCCGATCGATCAAGGATGAAGGACCCACGCGGTGTCAGAATCCAACGCCGGTGCCGACGCTGCCGTTCTCCACCTCCTTCCCTCCCTCCCCGGAGGTCCCGAAGGCTCTCCGGAAGTCTCCGCAGCTCTTCGGAGGTGAGGGGGCCTCCGAGGCCATTCCTGAGGGCATGTGTTTGGTGGTTTGTCTGTTGTCTTTCTTGAGGAGGAGTTGTCGTTGACGGTACGGGAGCCCTAAGCAAGTCCCCAGGTAGAGCAAGTTGCCAATTCCCTATGTGCCGTGATCCTTTCAGGACGTCGGACGCATGAGGCCACGGAACAGAGAATCGATTCCTGGACTTGTCCGGGGCTGCGCTTTGGAGTAACGTTTCTAAGGGGAACCCAGCCGCCGCGACGAGCTCTCGGGGACCTCCAGGAGTTCCAACCGCGCAGAAAACTGCCAGATCCTTCCGACGTCTCATATGTGATCATTTTCTTAATCATTGTTTTTCCGATCGGCGCGGGCCCTCGCACCCCCCTCCCCCCCAATGGAGTAACTCTTGGCTGTTTTTGGCGCTTGTACCAAGAAGGTGGAAGCTCCGCCACAGGATGCACATCTGCAAGCAGTCGTGTGAAGCAGAGGTCCGGAGCCAGACCCCCCCTTCTTCCCCCCTTCCGCCCAATGCCGACACGCCGAACCAGAAAGCGCTCACTATTCTTTCGTGACGTGGCCCCCCCGCATCTCGATACCGTCTCCTCCAAATCCCTTATTAATCGTCCCCCGGGTCTGGTTTTTAAAGGCGCCTTTTTTGTAACTGGGGGGGTCAGTTTATTGGGGCGCTTTCTTTGGAGTGGAGCTTAGGGGGTCCCGTTTCTTAAGGCGCCCCGTCGAAGAAGGGGGTCTGGAGTATTCGGTCGCATTTGGAGGGGGGTCCGGTTTTTCAGGGGGTGTCGATTCATAAGGGATTTGGAGCCCACTGGCCCGGTTTTCCATCCCGGCGCCGTTCTCCCTGCCTGCCCCCGCGGCCAGGAGAGGCGGCCTTTCCAGGGGGCGGGTGGGCGCAGGAGCGGAGGCCCGCCGTCGCGACGCGTGTGCTCTGCGCCACCTGGATCTGTGGGCCCCCCCCCCCGGGGCTCCTCCCCCCGAAGCGCGGGCCGCTCCAGGAGAAGGAGGAGGAGGAGGAGGAGGAGGAGGACGAGGAGGAGGAAGAGGGAGGAGGAGGAGGAGGGAGGATTCTGCTGGGATTCTGCTGTCTAGAGTGCCCTCCCAAGGAAAGATGAGAGGGTGCCTGCTCGCTCAGTGCAGCGCCTTCTGCGCGACATGTGAACGTATTGTGCTCTTATGTGCGGGGACCGTCAACTGACCATTCGGCATTTGCTAAAGCCAATCGAAACTAAGAAACACAACTGATGAGAGCGCGCACAAACGTTGCGTATACACTCTACAGGAGCTCTGATGCTTGAGGACACCACCACACATGCAATATCAAACTGGCAACGTTGACGCATGCAGCGTAAATTACCAGCCCAATTTGAAGCTGAGAACATGAACGTGAAAGCACTCTGAACCCAGCATATGAGACAGCAACGTCGCACATGGATTGATAAAACAACCCACCAACATAGCCGACCCCAAAAAAAACGTAGTGGAGCTCGTAGGCCAGCTGCCCCGCGTCTGCCTTGCTTGCCCCGTAGGGCCTGGGCAAGGCTCAGCCATGACAGCCGCAGCACTCCTCCACGGCGGACACGATGTCCCTCTTCCGCGATACCTTGTAGGTGGCGGCGCGCTCTCCTGGCATGGCGGGTCGGGCCCGAGCCTGCTGTCATGTGGGCCGCTAGCCTCGCCGAAGGGCCACAGCAAGCGATGCTCTCTCCGTCCGTCATCAGCCGCCTAGCCCTGCTCCTGCGCGCAGTGCGCCCGGCCGAGCTGCTTGCTTGCACCCAGAGGTGGACGAGGAGGGGCAAGCGGAAGAGGAGGAAGAGAAACGGGGCTTGGTGCATCACACTCGCCGTGTTGCAGGTATCCTGCGCGCCTTCCCCTCTGCCGGGCACACCGTCGGCCGGCCTAGACCGCAGCAGAGGAGGTGCATGGGGCTCCAGGTGCCAGTGCCATTCCCAAGTTTGGCATCCTGAACTCGGAAGGGCCGTGCGCGCGGGCCGCTTACGAGAGGAATGGCTGAGGAGGAGGGAGGAGGAGCAGAAGGAGGAGGTGGAGGAGCAGGAGCAGGAGGAGGAGGAGGAGGAGGAAGAGGAGGAGGAGGAGGAGGAGGAGGAAGTGGAGGAGGAGAGGAGGAGGAGGAGGAGGAGGAGGAGAGCGAGAGAGTGAGAGGAGGAGGGAGGAGGAGGAGAGGAGGAGGAGGAGGAGGAGGAGGATGAGGAGAAAGAGAGAGAGAGAGAGGACGAGGGAGGAGGAGGAGGATGAGGAGGAGGAGGAGCAGGACGAGGAGGAGGAGGAGGAGGAGGAGGAGGAGCCCGCGCCAAGGCCTCCACCGCCATCCACCGGCTCCAGAACAGCTGGCGCGAGGAGAGGCGAGAGGCCGTGGGCACGTTGTGGCGGCAGCTCGAGGCGGAGTACGGCGTGGAGGCGGGCGAGGCGCTTGGGCTCACGAACGAGCGTATCTCAGAGGAGGAGAAGATAGTCATACTGCTACCCGTCCTTTGTCTTCGTCTTTTTAGGCCTCCTGAGAGTCCCTCGCTTCCGCCGCTGAATTTGCTTCAAATCTCTGGTGAGAACACAACCAGGGACAGGTCCTGATTGTAGTGGTATCGGTATCTCTTGGCCAACAGAATATTCAACAAATAGTCCCCAGACTATTTTTGGATTATGTTTGGGGTATTTTTTATTTTTCGTCGAAAATCTTTTTCGTCGAAAATGCCCCTGTAGGGGGACAGGCCCGACTTAATCCCAGTGGAGGCCATCGGGGGGGGGAGAGACAGGCAGGCAGACAGACGGACGGGCGGGCAGACAGACGGACAGGCAGACAGACGGACAGACGGACCGACTAATAGACAGACGGACAGACAGTGGCCGTACGTCCAGGTGCATGCGTTGGTCGGAAAATGCCGGGATGCAGGATACAGCCAGCAGTTGTTTCCCCGCGAGAGCGGCGGCTGGCGACAGGACGCGGCCAGAAGCCACCCCAAGAGGACCACGACTATGGTTGAAGATGGCGACAAGGGCTGCCACGAGGGCGCGACGTTAATCGTGGTTCGCTATTTTCGATTCCTCATTTACTCATCCTCTTCGCCCTCTTTTCTCCAGGGGGAGTGGCGCGAGAGCGCGCAATTCTTCGCGCTTCGCGCAGCGCGAAGCTCGAACAAGGCGGACCTTGTGGCGGTGGATCGAAAGGTTAATGTGGGAGGGGCCAGTCGAGTAGTCACGCGCTGGTCGTTGAAAGCAGGTATTTTTGGATTCCCAGGTCCCAATCTAATTCAAGCGTCCTCCTACTCCAAGAACCGATATGCTTTGGCTGCGGTTGTGTTTTGACGTCTGGGAGGGCCAGGCCTTAACCCAATCTACCTTATCCGTCTTCCTACATCATGCTTTTACCTCTTTTCCTTCCGACCGACGTGTGCAGAGTTTTGTCCACAGTTTCTTTGCTATGCTGGACACTGGGCCATCAACGGGCCCCCCGAGGGGTCCGGGGATCAGTTTTGAACACCTTTGGCGTGTCGAGGGTGATGGTTGTGGACGGGTTTCGTCCCTGTGGGGGCGAGCCCGGATGGGCCCTGGCGGGGGGGGAGAGCGATATCGTCTACACGTAAGAGTGACCTTTCGCAGGATTGACCTTTGGTGCGGACCCAGTGGGGTCCCCCGATCGCTGAATGCGATGCGGCAGTAGCGTCTTGCGCGCTCGTGTCTGATCCCTCCGCGGTCCCCAAAAAGCCGCGCGCCAAAGGTCACTCTTACCCAGGGTCACTCTTGCGTGTATTCGATGAGACGGGGCGGGCCTTCTCAGAGGGCTCGGAAGTCCCCTGGCCTGCCGGGAGGTTTTCGAAGCCTTCCGCGAAGGCGCAGAAAATTTCTCAGAAGGCTGGAGGGCTTCTGCGAAGCCCCGCCGCCTTCTGACAAGGCTTTCTCCTTCTCACGTCCCCCCTTCGCTGGCCGCCTAATCCCTTTGGGGACCTCTGCGGGGCTTCTCGTCGCCACGGCTGGATGTGCCTCGAAAGTCTAGCCCAAACGTACCCCTGAGTGTCGATTTCTTGACCCTTGACCAACATCGTGAAGGTATCCACCCAAGTCATCGATCCCCTCCTCCCTCTCCCCCTCGACCCCGGGGCCCTGGATGCCACAAGCTGCGAGAAGTTTGCGCCTCGATCCGCTCTCATGGCGCTGGAGATCCGAGCCCTCCACGACGCCTGGGCCTGCTGGGGCCTGATCCGGCTGAATCCGGCTTGATTGATATGGTGCTGATTTGGGACTCAGTCGGCATAATTCAAGCAGTGACGAAGCGTCCTGATTCGCCTATAGTTCCACCAAGCAATGTTCTAAGAGCCTTTCGTGGTTTCTACGAAATGTTCTTAGAACATTCCTGGACTGTCTTGTTTCAACGCATCGAGCCTATGTTCTAAGAACACTGATGTTTCTTAGAACATTTTCGGGTTCTAAGAACAGTTCGTGGTAGGATTATGGAAATGCCGGGACGGTCGGTCCCTGCTCAAATGGTGCTGATCTGGAACTCAGTCGGCATAGTAGGCCGCCAATCAGGTCTCCAGGGTCCCAAAGCCGTGCCGCGTCGGGCCGTGCGGCGAGGTGCTTCGGGCTCTCGAGGCCATCGCAAGGCCTGTCACCGCACCGCTCCCTCTCCTCCCTGCGGCTAAGACTTGTGTCTACATCCGGTGCAGCTTGGAGTTTCGGGCTCCCTTCCCCAGAACCTCCAGGCGCACTGGATATGCATGAGAATCTGGCCCCTGTAGAGGCTCGATGCGTGTCCACATCCAGTGCGCCTCAGCCTTGCGGTGCCCCATCCAGGAAAGTCCAAGACGCACTGGATATGGATATAAATACTGCCCTCTCCCCCGTCGCCGCAGCTCTTTCGTTGCACGGGTCCCCCCCCCAGCATCTCGCCCCCTCTGCCAGGGGCCGTTTTCTCGTCCCGAGTCGTCGGGCATGCCGGCCCCACGGGGCTGGAGATGAGGGGCCGTGGGGGGGACCCCCAGCATCAATCAGCAGCGCCTATAGCCCTACCAAACAATGTTCTAAGAACCTTTTGTGGTTTCCACGACATGTTCTTAGAACATTTCTGGTTGGGACTGTCTTGTTTTATCACGTCGGGTTTATGTTCTAAGAAGCTTGTTTTTGTGATTCGAGCATTATGGGGTTCCAAGAACACTTCGTGGTAGGACTATAGGAATGCCGGGACGGTCGGTCCCTGCTCAACAGAAAGATCGGCGGGCCGCACGCGAGGGGACGGCGCGAGGGAGGCGGCCTCCTTAGAAGCATTGGGGACAGATAGAATCCCTAACCCTGATAACACGACGAAGACGTAGGCTCACCGAGGTCCCCGTCTTCGCATCAAGGACAATACTTCAGGGCGGTTTTCACCGAGCGCGTTCCACTACTCGCAAAGTGCCTATTCGCAAACGCTCGACAAACACGTGTCTGCTTCGATGTAATTTACCGTAGATCCCCCGCGGCGGATCCAGGCCATTTGCGAGTAGCTACTTTGCGAGTAGTGGAACGCGCTCATCTAGGTTTGCTTTGATACATCTGCAAAACAGACCCCCTATCCCTAGTGCCCCTGGCCATCCTAACTCAGGCCCACTCCCAGAGGGTCAGGGGGTCCTTCTTGGGGGGTCATGTAGAGAAGGCGAGGAGCTCATCAGAAGGCAGGAAATCACCACCTACAGTCAAAAGCCCTAATAAGGACACGCGACTTTGCTCAGGGTACCCTTGCGTCCTTGCTCTTCCTTGCTCTTGCGTCCTTGAGGTTTTCGTCGTCCGCCGCCCCAAAAATCCCAACTTCGGCTTCCAAAGGTCTTTCGTCCTTACCGCGCGTCCTTATTAGGGTTTTTGACTGTACCAAACTGCCCCAACCCAGCCCAAAGGTCCCAATCTGCTCTCCATTCCAGCTGGGGGGGGTGGAGGGGGCATCCCGGACTAGGGCAAAACGCCAGGGAGCCCGCACGCCCCCCAGCCCGAAAAGCAGGGGTTTCGGGGTGGGGTTGGGAGGTCCTAGTCCTGGCATCGCTCGGACGTGTGCATTTTTTCTCGGTGAGGGCCGTCGAGGAGCATCCTTGATCATTTGGCGAAACAACCACGCACAAAACCGACAAAAGCACAGGGAATGGACGTCCGAGCGATGGCCAGTAGTAGGTACAGTGGAAGCCCATGCCAAGAACTACCCCTCTTGCCTCCAGGGTGCCCTGGGTTTCTTGGGTTTCGATGGCTTCGCTGTGGAAAGCGTGACGCTCCCACACCAACAGTCGGCGGACAGCCTGCGGTCTCAGGGCCGGATCTCTTGCGGAAGGTCTCTTGTGGTCCAGCTCCCACTGCAGTCCAGAAGAAGCCGCTCCCTCGACGACGAGGCCTCCTTGGGAGCCTCCGGGCCCTTCTGCGAAGGCCTCCGCCCTCCCGCGAAGTCCCCCCCCCTCCTTGCGCCACTCCCTGGTGGCGCGCCGCCAGCCGTGTGGCCGTTGGCGCAACACAGATAATCCGCGTCCGTGGCCTCGCGGGCCGGGCCCCTGGGCCTCGGAGGGACGCCAACAGTACCCAGGAGGGGAAAAAACACACACAATTAATCGTCGATTCCCAGGAAAATATGGGAAACGATGGGAAGTGGGGGGGAAGACAGAAACCCAGAAAATATGGGATTATATGGGGAATCCTTTTATTTGTGTGTACTTATTCGTGTGTCCCAGGGCCCCTTCCAGTACGCCACCATCGAAGAAGAAGACATGCCATAAACATACTTGTTCGGAGCTCCGCGCGGATTTCTTGGATCTGCGCTGGGCCCCCCCCCTGGCGGCGCCTCCGGCGGCGCCCCCTGGCGCGCTCCGCGCGCCAGGGAGGGGTTCCAGCTCAGATCCCAGGACTCCGCGCGGAGCTCCGACTGCTCAAGCGCATGGCGCTCTTCTCCCCTTCGCCACCACCAGCCCTGGCGGGGTCCATCCTGGGCCCCGGACTGGTGTACAGGCCTCCAAGCCTGGTCTCTAGGAGGGCCTGCACGCCAGTGCAGGGCCCAGGACGGGCCTGGCCAGGGCTGGTGGTGGTGTACTGTCTGGAGCTCTCCTAGGGTTAAATCGGGCCTGTCCCTCTGCAGGAGGACTACTCAATCAAACAATAATCCGGGGATGTTTTTTTGTGTGACTATGTTTTAGCATCTTTGGTGTATGTGCTGTTTTTTTGTAAAACATTGGTTCGTCCAAAATCCGCCGCCTGTAGGAGGACATGCCCGACCTAATCTTAGGGCTGGCTCCCTGGGCCGCGTCCCCGCGGACGCTGGGCTCTTTTGTCGCGCGCGTTTTGCGCGGAACGAGCCTTGCGCGACCGCGTGTCCTCGGGATCGCGCCCCAGAGTCCAGACCGCGAGGTTGCGGGTACGACCCCCGCCGTGGGCGTTCCACGTCGAGCGCCGGCGGCGACCCAGGACCAAGAACAAGAACCAAGAACATATGGGAAAAGATTGGGGACTCCTGTTATTTGTGTGTATTTATTTGTGTTCCTGGGCCCCTTCAACAACGGCACAACCAAAAAACGGTTGGAGTTCCGCGCGGATCTCTTGTGTCGCCACCAGGCCCGCCTGCCTGGCGCGCGGAACGCGCCAGGGGCGGCGCAGGAGGCGCCGCCAGGGGGGGGGCCCAGCGCCGAGCCAAGAGCTCTCCGCGGAGTGCCGACAGTTCTTTGCTCAGGGCCAGTTTCGGGTCCTCCTGAGACACGTCGGCGGCGAGCGATTGGGGGGGAAGTGAGGATGAGGAGGAGGCCTTCTCAGAAGGCCTCGGGGCTTCTCGGAAGCCCCCGCGCCTTCTGAGAAGCCTTCTGTGTCCTCGGGGGAGGCTTAGCAGACTTCTCGGCAGGCCGGGGGACTTCCGAGCCTTCTGAGAAGGTCTGCCCCTTCTCACCTCCCCCCTTGGCTCGCCTCCGTCCTCCCGTTTTGCGAGTCTTGCTCGCCTCGAGTTGGGCTGGGCTCCAAGGGCATGGCCGGATCTCGGTGATGTCTCCGCTTCGACGGTCTGCATCTCTGCATCTCGAGATCTTCTCACTCGGCTCGTGGTCTGGACGGCGCGCGCGCGCGCCAGTTCCATGCTGATTTTGCGGGGGAAGCAGCTCTTCCGCCCCTCGCTCGCCGCCGAACATGGGGAGAAACGGCCGGGCGGCCGGGCGGAGCCCGAGGTTCCCGGCGCCTTCCTGGCGGGCGCGGGCGGCGCGGAGCTGGCCTCGGAGCCGTCGGAGGCCTCCCGGGGAGGGCCGCTGCGGCGGGGGACGCCCGGGGGGGTGTGGGAGGGAGAGGGCACCTGAGCGAGCACGGGCGGGTCACGCACGGCGTCCGCGGAAGAGTCGGGTGTTGCCAGAGGTGGCTTTGGCCCAAGGTGCCCCTGGGACACGGACTCCAGAGCGCTCCTTAAGAGCCCCAGGGGGTCCCAGGGGCGCCAGTGCTGCGCGAAAAGCTGGGGACTTGGCCAGGGGCACCTCTGGAAACACCTGGAAGTGGGGGGCCGCGTGAGCATGAGCATGAGCTGTTGGAGCTCCGCGTGGATCGTGTTGGGTGAGCAAGTCCCTCTCACGAATCCTTGAGAGGAATCCTTGCGAATTCCTTCCAGGAGTCCGTCAGGGATCCAGGCAGATCCTCTGGGAATCCTCGAGAAATTCGATCGAATTCTTGAGGGATCCTTTCGGACTCCGCACGAACTCTTTCGGAATTCCCACTCATCCCTCAGGAATCCTCGGGAATCCTCAGGAGAACCTGAGGACCACCCCCCTCCCCGTCGCGCGGAGCGATGACCCCGTTTCGGAACGGCACTGCATTTCATCCCCCTAGCGGATCATGCGGGGTGCGAGCAGGCACAGCTCGGCGAAAGCCGCGTTTTCAGAATTGACCGCCCCCATTGCGTACACTCAACCTTGTGGTCGTTGTTTTTGAGGATTTCTCCATGGAGAACCCCACCTTGACAGGGAAGTGCGCCCCCTTTCCCTTCCCGTCTGTGTCCAGGACACCCAGAGCACGGAGCCACTCGCCACAGGCAGAATCACAACATTTCCGCCATCAGGGCTGGGCGGCACCCGAAGTCAGGACGGTCCCTGGCGTTCTAATTATACATCTCGTGGCCTTCGGTCCATCCTGCCACCGTGTCTGCGTTGTGGGTATGAAGCTTATTGGGTGTTCGTTAAAACCTCGTGGGAGGCCTCTCGGGGGCCTCTTGGAGGAAGGTTGGAGGCCTCTTGGGGGCCGTTTTGTGCCTCCTGGGGCCTCTTGCTCTTGCGGCCTCCTGGGCGCCTGTTGTGGCCTCCTGGGGGCCTCTTGACGCGGAAGGCTAGGATTTTCGGCTTGTGCTCCCTCTCTTAGGCCCCCTTTGGGGCTGTCTTGTGGACCTCTTGGGCCGTCTTGGGCGCCTTTGTGGCCATCTGGGGCCCTCTTTGGGGCCGTCTTGGGGCCGTCTTCGGGGCGCTTGGGGCCGCCTTGGTCGGGTCCCTCCTTGGCCGTCTTCGGGGCCTCTTGGGGTTCTCTTGGCCCGCCTTGGGGCCCTCTCGGGCACGAGGTATCCACGCGCCACGACTTGGCAAAGCCCAGGGGGCACGCCAGGAGCCCCGCCAAATCTTGGAAGTTGGTGTCCGGGCCACCTAAAGACTCCTCAGGACGGGACTGAGGCTCCAGGGACTGGGCAAAGGACCTGGGAACCCGCCCACCCCTGCCCAGCGGCACGGTGGCGGATATACGCACGTATTCTTCTTTGTATATCTATTTTTTTACAGGGCCGGAGACGCCCCCCCCACACCGAACGGCTTTCGGCCGCCCCGGGGCGCCCAGTACGGCCCCAAAGGGGCCAAGTCCTGTTCCAAGACGGCCACAGGGCGCTCCAAGACGGCCTCAGCAGATGGCTCCACGACAGTTCGAAAGACTCCCAAAACGCCCACCCCACGAAACTCCAAGACGGTTCAATATGCCCCCCACCCCCAAGACGCCCCGAAGAGCCCCAAGGGAACGACAGACAAGCCCAAATCGTTGCACTCTTTGATAAAAGCGCGCATTTTTTGCCATACTCGCCGTTTGTTTTCCAAGGCTCCAGAACGGTTCGAGAGGCCCCACAAATCGTCCCAAAACTGGTCCAGAGGCCCTCACAAAGCCCCAAGAGGGCCCCAAGACAGCCCCGGAGAGCCTCATGGCGGCCCAAGATGGCCCCAAGACAGCCCAAGCGAGCCCCGATGCGGCCCAAGACAGCCCCAAGAGGTTTCCAAGAAAGCCCCAAGGCAGCCCCAAGAAGCCCACAGCAGAGCCCCACGACGGCCCGAGTCCCCCGAGACAGCCCCACAAGGGCCCCTAAATTAAATGGTCCACGAGGACTCCACGATTGTCCAGAGGGCCATCCGAGAAAACCCGGAAGGAGGAGGAGGAGCCGGAGGAGGAGGAGGAGGAGGAGGAGGAGGAGGAGGAGGAGGAGGAGGAGGAGGAGGAGGAGGAGGAGGAGGGAGGAGGAGGAGGAGGAGGAGGAGGAGGAGGAGGGAGGAGAGGAGGAGGAGGAGGGAAGGGAGGAGGAGGAGGAGGGTGAGGAGGAGGAGGAGGAGGAGGAGGAGGAGGAGGAGGAGGAGGAGGAGGAGGAGGAGAGGAGGAGGAGGAGGAGGAGGAGGAGGAGGAGGAGGAGGAGGAGGAGGAGGAGGAGGAGGAAGGGGAACAACAATGAGGAGGCGGGGACGGAGAATGCCACGGGCAGAGGAGCAGGTGCCTGGCCTGCCGCGCCCCCGCCCCGCCTCCCTGCGCGGCGCTCCTGCGAGGCCTCGGCCGCGGACCACGAGGCGGCGCTGCGGGAGGCGACGGAGGAGCCGCCTGGGGGGCCGCAAGAGGTGGGCTCGCGCACCTGGCTCTCCTCCCTCGGAGGAAGGGGGATTCGGATGCAGCTCCCGGGAGGTCAAATTGATTTAGCCCTGGTCCGAAATCCGGCTTAATCCGGCCTACTCCCGCTTAATCCGGCGTAATCCCGCTTCATCCCGCTTAATCCCGCTTAATGCTGCTTAGTCCAACGCCCATTCCGGCGTAAACGTTCTCAAATGAGGCTTAATCTTTTTAATTTTCCGACAAAAACCTCCCCGTAGTTGCCTCCTAAGGGGGAGGGGGAGGACGCTGAGATGACCACCGGCGTCGCTAAGGAAGTGAGGGGGCCTGGGAGCTGATGACTGAGGTTGGTGACGTCTGGCCGAGCCCAGCTCATAAGTGGGTCACGGGTGCCCTGGGTTGTCTACAGGGGCTTCACGAGCTGGTCGAAGTGGACTCTGCCCACCTCGCGGATTGGTTCACGCCCCCCTGAACCACTTAGGGCACATGTGACCCTCTTATGCGCAAGGTACAGTGAATCCGCCTAGTAAGGATGGGCAACCTTTCCAAGGGTATCATTGCATCTTTGCCCCTCCGGCCCATCCTTAGCGACTATCGCTGGCCAGCCTCGTTCGAAAGATGTTAAACATGGGCCTCCAAGGCCCCTGCATCCTTACCGTGCATCCTTCTGATACGGGTTGACTGGAAGGCCATACGCATTCCACCTTAGCATCCGCTTGGAAGTCCTTCTCTTCTTTGCAACCTCCGCGGTCATCTCTGAGAGCGGCCGTTACGCTTCCCTGTTTTGTTATTGTTCTTTCGGACGACGGTTTGGAACGGAACAGGTGTTTTTGGGGATGGTACAATTTTCGTTCTGTTCTATCGTTCTAAACGCAAGCGGTGGTCAAACAAACATTTTAAACATCAGCTCGCGACCTGCTCCCTCCTTCCCAGACCTCCGACGATGTGATGCTTTGTCCATCGCGGCGTTTTCCTTCCATTGCTGTCTCTGGAGCTAATTGTCGGTCCCCAGGACCATGAGAAACGGGATCGGGGCGCGAAACTACTCCTGAGGAAGTGGTCGGGGCCTCTGTGGCCGTACGGGGTTGGCTCGCGTGTGACCCTCCTCTCGGCACGATTGGGATGGGCACAGAAAGAATGGGGACGAAGACCGACAGCGACTCCTGCCCACTTTGAGAAGGAGTCGCTGTCGTCATCGCCGCGGACGGTGTCCACTTGAGACAACATTCGCCTGCCCAACAGCGGCTGGTGTCGCATTTGGATAGCATTTGCTGATTGGCATTGTCCCCATTTCTTCCGTAGCCAGCTCGAGCGTGCCAATTTGTCATTTCTTCTCCCTCGCTCTTTGGCTCGTTTCCTCCCCCTCTCCACTGGGATCCGCGCTTCGCATTTTTTCGCAACGGGCGATGTTGCCATGTTTTGGGCCCGGGGACCCTCGCGGATCGATCGGGCTCGAAAGAGAGAGGATGTCTTTGGCTGCGGTCGAGTTTCTTCCCCCGGTGTTGCAGTGTTCTGTGACATCGGATCTCAGGTTCTCCTCTCGGGGGACGTTGACCGACCACCTTACCTGCAATGTTTTGTGACATCGGATCTCAGGTTCTCCTCTCGGGGGACGTTGCCCGACCACCTTACCTGCCCTGGGCCTTGGGCAGGCCCATCCTGGGCTGGTGAGGTCGTCAGTAGTCGTCTCCCGATCCGCCGCTTTGCCCTCGTGTGCCCACAGGTCCTCAATATGAATAACGCTCTTCTCTCTTACCCGCGATGGCCAGGGGGTCGCCCGCCTTCCTTCGTGTAGTGTTTGTTGTCCACAGGATTTCCAAAGTTGTTTTTTTCCCAATGGCCTCTATCGATCGGAACGTCTCTGGTGTCTTAAAATGGTGCTGCCGCTGCAGCGTTGGCCTCATTTTGGGATCGGCGCTGTGCTCCAGTCGTTCAGAATGGTGCTCTCGCCCCAGCGCGGGCCACTATTCTCTGGGTCCGAGTCCTTCCTCATCGATGTCGCCCCCCTACTTTCCCCTTCTCTGCCTTCTACTAGTCCTTCTGCTCATCCCGCTTCCTCTAACCCAGCTGCTGCTGCTGTTCGTCCTCGTCCACCTCGTTCATCCTCCTCCTTTTCCTCCTGCCCATTCGTCTGCTCATCCGCCACTTCCCTCCAATTTACTCAGCTCCCCTTTGCCGATTGCGCGTATCACGATGGGGTCCTTTTTGGAATTGCAGGTCCGCTATGACACGCGTCCGCGGATGGAGAAGAAATCAGCGCAACGGGATGGGTGAGAGGGGTCGAATGTCACGTATGGCGCCAGCGCGCCTAGCTTGCCTCCTTCCCCCTCTCCTCTCTCCTCCCTCTCCTCCCTCCTCCCTCTCCCTTACCCCCGTCCCCCACCGTAGGTCGACCCAACAAACAAACGACACCACCCCACCCACGCCCCTCCATGTTGCGCTACGGCCCATCGGGCGCCGTAGCGTATACCACGCAGAAGCCCACGCCAGATTTGTCGGCATGCGCTACTTACATTCGACCCGCATAGTAAGGATGAGCGACTTTTCCACGGGTGCCCTTGCATCCTTCCCCCTTCGGCCCATCCTCGCTTGGCCGCTTCCGCTGGCCGCGCCCCGCTCGCAGATGGTGTCGACCTGGTCTTCCAAGACCCTTGCATCCTCATCGCGCATCCTCATACGGGTTCACTGTAAGCCCCGTGGGGCCGCAGGTGGATCGGTGTCGTTCGGGGTCAGCAAAGAGGGGGTGATGACTAATGGGGGGAATGTAAAGCATGGTGGGGGCCACGTGATGTTTCCCCAGATTTCATGTGGCGCCTCTTCCTGTTTCAGTGCGTGCGTACCTGGCCCCCCCCCCTGGGCCGCGCACGTGCCGCCGGCTATGATTTGCCCCCCCTCCTCTCTTGGTCACCCTCCTCTTGGCCTCTCGGGCCGGACGAAAGGGGTGAATTGGGAAAGGGGGGGTACGAAATCTGCTGTATGCAGTTGGTTTCGGCCCCACCGAGGGGCCCATTCTTCGATACATAGCCGCCTCCGGCGCCGGGAGGCGCTGGTGAAGTCAGCTATAGGCGAGCTGATTCTCTCCCCCCCTTTGCTATGCCCCCCATTCGCCCGGCCCGAGCCTCCCTCGCCGAGTCGTTGTTTTCTGGCCCGACTTCGTGGCCTGCAGGGGCTTGAAGCTGCCCGGGCCTTCGTTCCACACGTCCCTGGCCTCCCCCTTCCTCGCCCGCGCACCTGCCACCTCGGGCCGCGGTGCGCTCAGCCCCCTCGACCTGGCCCCTTCCCGCAGCCGTTCTGGCCTCTCCTCCCGGCGGTGGCTGGCTCGCCCCCGCGCGCGCCGGGGCCTGCCCCCGGGCCGGGTGGCGCCGGCGGGGGCCTCCCTGCAGACGTCCGGCGCGGTGTGCTCTCTTCAGCCCGGGGGTCCCGGTGCCCCTCCTCGGCGACTTGGATCCGTCACGTGACGCGAATCGGAGGAGGAGTTAGGTGGCTTTCTTTTTCACCCAATGGTGTCTTGCTTCCTGCTTCGTGATCGTTTAGTGTGTATTAGTGTTGTTTAGTGTTGCGTAGCTAGCGTTGCTCGTGCACGCCGGTCGGTGCGCGCGCGCGCGGCATCGCAGTTGTGCGAGCAATGCCAGATTCCTAAGATCGGCCGCAACCTTTTTCAAAGTTCCTTTCTTCTTGTCCCTCCCGCAGGCGAACTAAATTGCACTAAATTGTACCAAGCGCAACTAAATTGCACTAAATTGCACTAGTGTGGGGCGCACTAAACGCCACTAACTTGCACTAACTTGCACTAAATTGCACCAGATTGCACTAAATTGCACTAAACGCCACGAAATTGCACTAGACGCCACTAAATTGCATTAAAGAAGACTTAATTGCACTAACGTCTCCCGCCGCGCCACACTAAACGCCACTAACTTGCGCTAAATTGCACTAGTGTGGGGCGCACCAAACGCCAGAAACTTGCATTAAATTGCATTAAATTGCGCTGAACGCCACTAAATTGCACTACGCGCCACTAAATTGCATTAAATTGCACTAAATTGCGCTAGCGCCTCCCGCCGCGCCACACTAAACGCCACTAAATTGCGCTAAATTGCACCAGTGTGGGGCGCAGGTGACGCTCAGTTCGACAAACGAAGCTCCCGTCATATGCCACCTAAGAGGAGGAGGAGGAGGAGGAGGAGGAGGAGGAGGAGGAGGAGGAGGAGGAGGAGGAGGAGGAGGAGGAGGAGGAGGAGGAGGAGGATATAAAGAGTAGGAAGGGGAGGATTCGGTGGGGAGGGGGGAACTTCGCATCACGTGACGAAATCCCTTTGCCTACCTCCCTGTTTTTTTTGGGGCAGCTGGGCTGCTGAGGCTGTACAGTAGAGGCCAATGCCAAGGAACATCCTGTTTGCCTCCAGGGTGCCCTGGGTGTCTTGGGTTTCGATGGTTTTCCGGTGGAAAGCGTGGCGTTCCAATTCCAAAATTTGGATGGACGTTCTGAGGTCTCAGGGTTGGGTTTCTTGTGGAAGGTTTCTTGTGCACTGGCCTCCATTGTACCTATCTCCTTGGGAAAGTCAACTGGGCGATTAACTATGCACCCACTCGCCCGACTATGCGAAGGCCTGCAGCCGAGAATGGCTTATACAGCCGAACAATGCAGCCGAAAAAGGCTTGGTTTCTTCAGTCCGGGGGTCCTGGATCCCCTCCCCGGGGTGCGTAACTTGGATACGCATGGCAATCAATGTCGTGAAGGCCTTGCGGCCGATTCCGCCGACCCTGACGGGTGACGGCGACGGCGGCGGCAGCGGCGACGTCGACGTCGCTGACTCCTTGGAGCTTTTCTTGGGGCTCTCTTGGGAGCCTCTTGGACTCTGTGGGGCAGGTGCTTGGGCCCAGGCCGGGGCCTGGGTCGGTGCCTGGGGCGGGGCCGGGGCTGGGGCCCAGGCCGGGGCCAGGGCCAGGGTGCATAATTTGGACACGCATGGCAATCAATACTTCGGAATGGCGGGACAGAGGAATAGAAAACCAGTTCGCGACCGCGTCATGAGACCTTGAGGGCTATACGGCCCTTCTCCTCCCACCCACATGGGCGTGGCTCTGCCCGCAGTGGAGCTGGATTGGCGCTCGCTCGCTCGCTCCCCTGGGGTACTCTGCCGCCGCCGCGAAGATTGCCACAGAGGCCGAGCATGGAGCCCCGAGATCCGACGTCGCAAAAAATGCTACATCGAAGGGTTCGACCGGAGTGCGAGCCGGATCGATCCGCGTGAGGGTCCCCGGGCCCGAAACATGGCAAAATCGCCCGCTGCGAACAAATTGCGACGCTAGGATCCCAGGAGGAGGAGCGTCGGGAGGGAACAAAAGCACACAGACACAATCAACCGTCGGTTCCCCAGAAAGTATGGGAAAATATGGGAGGTGGGGGGGAAGACAAAAGCCGAGAAAACATGGTAGAACATGTGGACTCCTGTTATTGGCAGGGACCCTTTAAAGCGCCTCGATTCGGCACCACCCCAAGAGTACTTGGGCTTTCTACGCGTCGGCCCCGCACGAGCGGCGCGCACGCGCAGACATCTTATAGTAGGAGCTCGTTGGCCCTTCCTGCTTGGGGCACAAGGTGCCGCAGGGACGCCATACCGCTCGGGACACGACCTGCCGTAGGATCTGTGTACGGGCGATCGCTTCCGGCATCAGCACAGTCCTGGTATGTCTCGGAGGTTGATCGACCTCCTACCTTGACACGTCGATTAAGGAATTGGCCGTTTTCTGTTCGCGAGAGAGCGTCGCGGCCGTCATTTTTGCGGGTCCAGGTCCGTCGGTTTCGGCCCCAGGCCGTTTTCACTAAGGGGAGGTTTATTAAAGGGAGGTTTGTCCACCGCCGAATGTCCTTCTGCAGCCCACTCAGATCATCGCGGGTGTTGCTAAGGGGATGGTGAGGAGTGGATGCGAAGGTGGGTTCTGCCTGGTCCAACCTAGTTTCTGGGCGGGCTATATGTGCCCTGAGCCAGTCAGGGTGAGTCGATAACCGCGTCAAGTGGGCTTTGCCCACATAGACCACATCCGCCCCCCCTAAACCACTTAGGGCATACGTAACCTACTGATAGGCAAGGCTTACTATGCCAGATATGATCGTGGGTCAAGGGTTCACAGGCCCCACCCCCTCCCCAGATGGGGTAGGTCCCAGGGTTCCACAGGCCCCCCTCCAGATGGGATGAGGGGGACGGCGCCGACGCCGACGCCGACGCCGAAGCCGAAGATAACGCCGACGCCGACGCCGACGCGGACGCTGGCGCCGACGGTGCCGACGCCGACGGACGACGACGACGACGACGACGGACGACGACGGACGACGACGACGACGAGCCACTCCACCACACCCACATGTGGAGGGAGGGGGGATGCACCGGCACCTCCACCACGCCACGCCCACGGGGCCACGCGACCACAAGGGGAGGCGGGGCGATCCCAATTGCGGGGGGGGGCTCGATCCCATATGCATTGGGGGGGGGCAGCCCTGGATCAGATCTATATACAGTCAACCCGCATAGTAAGGATGGGCAACCTTCCCAAGGGTACCCGTGCATCCTCGCCTCCTCGGTCCATCCTTGGCCACTTTCGTTGGCCGCGCCCCGCTCGAAGAGCTTTGAATTGGGCGTCCAAGGCCCTTGCATCCTTATCGCGCATCC